CTAATTTAATATTGTTTGAAAGCACAGTGATCAAAATGGATTTGCGCGAGTGACGGAAATCCTGCACCACCTGTCAACATGTCATTCAACATTGAGCTTGGGGGTACGGGGGTACAAGTTATGCATTAGCAAATCTAAGGTTATAGAGGTGGTGCAGGATTTCTTCCACCCACCGAAGAAAGAAAACGTTTTCTTGTATTTTTGGTCTTGCAAATTTCTTCCCGTCATCAGCTACTTCCAGGGGATCAAATCCATCGTCCGTTCTTCTTATAGTTCCCCCAGTGTGCTTCACTCTTCACCTGCACACAGCTGAGCAGGAGGCAAAATTAGCTACATGGCAGCCGCCGCGCGCTACACTGCAAACTACACGCAACACTCACGCTACACTACACGCAACACTACATGCTACACTACACGCAACACTACCAAAATGCTGTCAGGGGCAGCATTTCAGGTCAGGACAGAAAAAGCTGACTTGTATTTTCATTTCATTCCTTAAAAGCCTCAAAGCTCCAAAATGCCGCCCCTGCCAGCAGTTCGGTAGTGTTGCGTGCAGTGTAGCGTGCAGTGTAGCGTGTAGTGTTGCGTGGGGCTGCCACGCAACACTGGTCACTTTCACCGGCTTCTTTGAAAAGGATTCTGCTTCCTCCCTCCTCCTGGTCCGTCAACCATTTTCCGGCATGCCAGCGCTGCTCTGCCCAGCTTGTGTTGCAATATAGTCAAATCTAAATGCACCAGGCTTGATGACTTTGAATTCAAAGGTTGATGATCTGACAAGCTAATGAATGCATATGGCCAAAACATCCTTCAGCTTCTGCCCGCTGATTCTTTGCAGTTCTTCAACCAGGCACATAAAGTTTCAGTACTGTTGATGGAAGAAATCCTGCACCACTTTCAAAGGCCTACACTTGAAACCTCGCGCTCCTAATTTAATATTGTTTGAAAGCACAGTGATCAAAATGGATTTGCGCGAGTGACGGAAATCCTGCACCACCTGTCAACATGTCATTCAACATTGAGCTTGGGGGTACGGGGGTACAAGTTATGCATTAGCAAATCTAAGGTTATAGAGGTGGTGCAGGATTTCTTCCACCCACCGAAGAAAGAAAACGTTTTCTTGTATTTTTGGTCTTGCAAATTTCTTCCCGTCATCAGCTACTTCCAGGGGATCAAATCCATCGTCCGTTCTTCTTATAGTTCCCCCAGTGTGCTTCACTCTTCACCTGCACACAGCTGAGCAGGAGGCAAAATGAGCTACATGGCAGCCGCCGCGCGCTACACTGCAAACTACACGCAACACTCACGCTACACTACACGCAACACTACACGCTACACTGCACGCAACACTACCGAACTGCTGGCAGGGGCGGCATTTCAGGTCAGACAGAAAAAAAAAGCTGACTTGTATTTTCCATTTCATTCCTTAAAAGCTCAAGCTCCAAAATGCCGCCCCTTGCGCAGTTCGGGAGGTTGCGTGTAGTGTAGCGTGTAGTGTAGCGTGTAGTGTTGCGTGGGGCTGCCACGCAACACTGGTCACTTTCACGTGCTTCTTTGAAAAGGATTCTGCTTCATCCCTCCTCCTGGTCCGGTAATCATTTTCCGGCATGCCAGCGCTGCTCTGCCCAGCTTGTGTTGCAATATAGTCAAATCTAAATGCCCCAGGCTTGATGACCTTTGATTCAAAGGTTGATCTGCCGACAAGCTAATGAATGCATATGGCCAAAACATCCTTCAGCTTCTGCACGCTGATTCTTTGCAGTTCTTCAACCAGGCACATAAAATTTCAGTACTGTTGATGGAAGAAATCCTGCACCACTTTCAAAGGCCTACACTTGAAACCGCGCGCTGCTAATTTAAAATTGCTTGAAAACACAGTGATCAAAATGGATTTGCGCGAGTGACGGAAATCCTGCACCACCTGTCAACATGTCATTCAACATTGAGCTTGGGGGTACGGGGGTACAAGTTATGCATTAGCAAATCTAAGGTTATAGAGGTGGTGCAGGATTTCTTCCACCCACCGAAGAAAGAAAACGTTTTCTTGTATTTTTGGTCTTGCAAATTTCTTCCCGTCATCAGCTACTTCCAGGGGATCAAATCCATCGTCCGTTCTTCTTATAGTTCCCCCAGTGTGCTTCACTCTTCACCTGCACACAGCTGAGCAGGAGGCAAAATGAGCTACATGGCAGCCGCCGCGCGCTACACTGCAAACTACACGCAACACTCACGCTACACTACACGCAACACTACATGCTACACTACACGCAACACTACCAAAATGCTGTCAGGGGCAGCATTTCAGGTCAGGACAGAAAAAGCTGACTTGTATTTTCATTTCATTCCTTAAAAGCTTCAAAGCTCCAAAATGCCGCCCCTGCCAGCAGTTCGGTAGTGTTGCGTGCAGTGTAGCGTGTAGTGTTGCGTGTAGTGTAGCGTGTAGTGTTGCGTGGAGCTGCCACGCAACACTGGTCACTTTCACGTGCTTCTATGAAAAGGATTCTGCTTCCTCCCTCCTCCTGGTCCGGCAACCATTTTCCGGCATGCCAGCGCTGCTCTGCCCAGCTTGTGTTGCAATATAGTCAAATCTAAATGCACCAGGCTTGATGACCTTGAATTCAAAGGTTGATGATCTGACAAGCTAATGAATGCATATGGCCAAAACATCCTTCAGCTTCTGCCCGCTGATTCTTTGCAGTTCTTCAACCAGGCACATAGAATTTCAGTACTGTTGATGGAAGAAATCCTGCACCACTTTCAAAGGCCTACACTTGAAACCTCGCGCTCCTAATTTAATATTGTTTGAAAGCACAGTGATCAAAATGGATTTGCGCGAGTGACGGAAATCCTGCACCACCTGTCAACATGTCATTCAACATTGAGCTTGGGGGTACGGGGGTACAAGTTATGCATTAGCAAATCTAAGGTTATAGAGGTGGTGCAGGATTTCTTCCACCCACCGAAGAAAGAAAACGTTTTCTTGTATTTTTGGTCTTGCAAATTTCTTCCCGTCATCAGCTACTTCCAGGGGATCAAATCCATCGTCCGTTCTTCTTATAGTTCCCCCAGTGTGCTTCACTCTTCACCTGCACACAGCTGAGCAGGAGGCAAAATTAGCTACATGGCAGCCGCCGCGCGCTACACTGCAAACTACACGCAACACTCACGCTACACTACACGCAACACTACATGCTACACTACACGCAACACTACCAAAATGCTGTCAGGGGCAGCATTTCAGGTCAGGACAGAAAAAGCTGACTTGTATTTTCATTTCATTCCTTAAAAGCCTCAAAGCTCCAAAATGCCGCCCCTGCCAGCAGTTCGGTAGTGTTGCGTGCAGTGTAGCGTGCAGTGTAGCGTGTAGTGTTGCGTGGGGCTGCCACGCAACACTGGTCACTTTCACCGGCTTCTTTGAAAAGGATTCTGCTTCCTCCCTCCTCCTGGTCCGTCAACCATTTTCCGGCATGCCAGCGCTGCTCTGCCCAGCTTGTGTTGCAATATAGTCAAATCTAAATGCACCAGGCTTGATGACTTTGAATTCAAAGGTTGATGATCTGACAAGCTAATGAATGCATATGGCCAAAACATCCTTCAGCTTCTGCCCGCTGATTCTTTGCAGTTCTTCAACCAGGCACATAAAGTTTCAGTACTGTTGATGGAAGAAATCCTGCACCACTTTCAAAGGCCTACACTTGAAACCTCGCGCTCCTAATTTAATATTGTTTGAAAGCACAGTGATCAAAATGGATTTGCGCGAGTGACGGAAATCCTGCACCACCTGTCAACATGTCATTCAACATTGAGCTTGGGGGTACGGGGGTACAAATTATGCATTAGCAAATCTAAGGTTATAGAGGTGGTGCAGGATTTCTTCCACCCACCGTATGTAGCAAATCTGCATGTGGCAAAGGGATCTTCCAAGGGAAGATATGAGATATTCTTTGGGATATGTTTTGTATATCTCAAGAAAATATGTAGCAAAATAAGGCGAAAAAAAAAACTATGGAATAGATGGGATGCCATTGGGATATCAAATATTCATGTTGCAGGATGTTGCAGGAGAAAAAAGGGGATAATGTCATAAGGTTTTGTATTTACCCACCACAATGGAGAGATCATGAAAGATACTGGTGGCTGATCAATGGTGGATTTTTGGAAAAAAGTTGTAGATATTTAGATGGGGATAGATAAGACCATAGATATGTGTATATATATATATCTACAGAATAGTGACAAATGAATCACAAAAGAGATGGATAAACCAATAAACAGTCCAAAAATTGGAAATTCAGCCACGGCGTTACCGGACACCAGGGCTGGTCTTCGCCACGCGCTACCCAGCGGGCGCCAGTTTCACTATCCAACGGTGTCTGCCCAGTTGCAGCGGGGTGACACAAGGCGTGGGCGTGGCCAAAGTGGCGGACGTTGGGGGTGGAAAAACATGGGTGTATCCTCTGGTAAACCGAGGTAGCGATTGAAAATGGCCATTTAGTTCGTTGATTTACCTATTAAGAATGATGATTTTCCATAGTTATGTTAGTTTTTAGTTTACCAGAGGGCCTCATATGTAAACCACCATCCCTTATTAGATGGGTTATTCTGATAGGATTTATTTTTGTATACCATATTATGAATCATCGTTTTTGAATATTAGATTATAGGGGATAATCATGTTTTAAAGATATTGATAGAGTAACCCTTTACTATCCCCCGTAGTATATGATAGTTTAAATATGACAACGCACGCGAGCGTATTTGGCAACGCCCAAATGGACAAGCTGAAGACCTGGAAATTATGGGTAAAACATGAGACAATTGTCTACAAACACCAACAAATCTCCAATTATGCGGAAAAGAAAGGGACCACATTAGTTTTGGATATTCACTTGGAAATTTGTTGGGAAAACAACGGGGCTATTTATTGAAATATACTTGGGTATGTAATCAAGAATTGGAAGCATGGGAAAATCTCCTATACTGGTAGCTTGGAATCCCCACAGATGGGCGGTGATGATCCCCCCAAAAAACCATCAACCAACTGGTTGCCTGGTGGTGCCCCCTACAGCTTGGCCATTTCCTCTTGCGTGGCAGGCAACAGCTTGGAAGATGTGCTGAACGCACCTGGAACCGTGTACTACGTGGACGCTCAAGGTCGGCTCTACTTGAAGCGCCTGGGCCGTCCCAAGAGATGAGGGGGTGACATGTTTTTAGAGGCCTTGACCCACAACCAAATGACCCACAAAATCGGTACCAGGTACCCCCAAAATACCAACCTCTGTGGTCTATCACGTCATTCTTCCCACAGTGCCCATTTTGGGCCAGATCTGCCAGGTTTCTCTACGAGCAGAACGGGTATTTCGAGGCTGCTGGAGTGAAGCAACTGACCAATGGGCATCGATACCTTGCCGGCAAGGTGCAATTGGGTATACCCATGGCATATCTCTGTGGAAACATCTTTGCATTTTTTTTTGCGAATCTTTCACATTAGCCCAAACCTAAGACCATAATCGGAAGAAGACCGAAGACCTTAATCCTTGGAAGACCTAAGAGCTGAATCCTTGGAAGAATCCAGCAAAAAAAATCGGCCCATTTTACACAAAATTGGGGGAAGTTCTTCCTTTCCACCAGTGCCTTCCCCAGGGCGCCCGTTACACCATCCGCAGCAGCCTGTCGGGCGCCGTGGCCTTGGCCGTGCCCCCCGCCCTGAACGGCGAGCCTGTCACCGGCACCACAACGGCGTCGTCGACCGCAGGGAGCAGCGGCACCACGACGGCGTCGACCACCGCGGGGAGTACCACGGCAGCTGCGTGCGCGACCCAACGCTGGGAGAACTGCCGGCAGACCTTGTGCTGACGCTGGGTTGAAATATGTTGAAATGATGAAAGTGGCTTAAAAGGATAAGTTGTTTTTGGGGAGATTTGAAAGTTATCAAAAAGTTGTACCAAAAGCCGAGTGCCAAGCCATCCTAATTCCTATTTAGTTGGTGAGTTTGTTGATGATGCAATGCCATTCTCCAAGGTTCCAGCTCAGATGACGTTTGCTATGAGAAGGATCAGTACTATGCTCAGTGCAAACCATCAGGTCAGTGTACCCCAGGCCACTTCAGCCACCTGGAAGGGACTAGGGGGGTGATACCGGAACCCGGTATGGGTCTTATCCCTCTTCCAAGCTCAAAATGTTTGGTAGCTTATTTTCAACATTCAAACATTGTTCAACCTCTTCACCATCTGTTTGTTGACATCTTATGACTTCATAGCCACTACCCAGTAATCAAACATGGCAATGGCAAATCCACCATTTATCGTTGCTTTTCCCAATTGTCACGTTTGATTACCAGAGGGTATACATCATCATTTTAGGGGTTGCCTTTTCTATGCTAAAGCCCGCCTTCACTTCCCCACGGTGCCCACGCGCCAGGCATCAACGAGAACGAGCCACCAGAATACCAAACGCCATGGAGCTGCACTGTGCTCTCGACGCAAACCACTACCATGGCCACCACCACAACAACAACGATGGGTACTACAACTGCAATCACCACTACAACCACTACAACTACTACCACTACAACTGCAACCACTACAACTACAACCACTACAACTACTGCAACAACAACGACTACAACCACTACGACAACTACAACTGCGGCCACGACGACCACTGTCCCGACGAGCACGACGGCAACTGCCTGTGCCACACAACGGTGGAAAAACTGTCGGCAGAGTTTGTGCTGTCACTGGTCCGATGTGGCAGGACCTTAGTAAAGCAAGAAATAAACCACCCATATGTTGATGGTTTATACCAGCTATTTATGGTAAAATTGAGGATGGTTTTCCAACATTATCCCACATCCCCAAATCCAATGAATTAGCATCATGTTTCTTGTTAAATTTACTATTTGGGGAGTATACAGTATACCCAATTTTCACATACACCCAAGTAGTTTGTGTTGACCCGGGGACCATGGGAATTTTTAGAGATGCGAAGGATGCAGACAGCCTTGGGAATCTATCTCCGGTGTGTACTAGTGGTTCACTGTTGCAAGGATGCTGGGTTCTTTTGGGGCGAACTGGGGGCAGGGCTACTCTTAGGGATAAAAGTTGAAACATCGAGGGCGCCCCTTTCCAAGGTTCCAATTCGGATGACACCTGCTACGAGAAGAACCAGTACTATGCTCAGTGCCGCCCAACCGGTGATTGCACACCAGGCCGTTGCGCTGTTGCGTTCCGGTATGTTGCGGTATGTTGCGATGGGCCACAGTGCCATACATGGTGTGATGTCTAAGGGATATATATCTATACCGTCTATACCCCATTGTGAATTGCATTCCACTGTCATAATGATCCTATCATGTTCCTTTTGTTTAATGGTACACTTCAATATCATAAGGCTAGAGGTCTGGGTCGAACAAAATTGTAGGCCCAGCTGAAACAAACCTCGAGATGAAGGTTCCTCAGCGGAGCAACGGTTTTTTCTGATTTAGGTTTGCTGAAAAACAGTGTACCCTCTGGTAATTTAACATAGCTATTGAAAATCACCATTTTCAATGGGAAAACTCACTATTTCTATGGTCATTTTCAATAGCTATGTTAAATTACCAGAGGGTACCCCAAATCCATTGGTTAACAACAATCTTCTGCATTAATCCATTGGTTTTTCCATTGGTTTTTCGGGGGTAGGTCCCATTTTCGGACAAGCCCATTTCTTTCATGATGGCAAATCGGATTCACGGAGTAATTTTAGGAAAAAAAACACCATATGTTTTTGGCTGATGGTTTCGGCCCATCCCAATTTTCAACCACTACACGATGGTGCCCTCAGGTATCAATCCCAACGATGCACCGGAATACCAGACCCCCTGGAGTTGTACGGTCCTGTCTTCCACACCCACGGAAACAACGACCGCCACCACCACAACTACAACAACTACAACGACTACAACGACCACAACTACAACAACCACAACCACCACAACCACCACAACCACCACAACTACCACCACCACCACCACCACAACCACCACAACCACCACCACCACCACAACCACCACTACCACCACAACCACCACAACTACCACCACCACCACCACTACAACCACCACAACAACTACTACCACATCAACGACTTCTACGACATCTTCAAGTTTGGCTGATTTCGAGCCAGTTGATGGAGGCAACACTGGGGCAGTGGGCGCCACCGCAACACAATTCTGGGCCGCCGATCCAAAACCGGACGCCCGAAACCCATGAGTTGGTTGTCTATCAGTTCGTAATCTTCCAAACTCAAATTCTTCCAATTGACCCAATCACCGAGTGCTGATTACCACCCATTATTATTGGATATTAGTAAGCCAATGTTGTGGCTTCATTCAACAAAAGCATCGAAGATGAAGCCATTGTTTTGGGTTTCAAACACTGATATCTATCGATTTTGTTGGTGTAGTTACATAATTGATATAATTCACAAGAAGTTCTACCCTCTTGTTTTTCACATTTAGCCATTCATAAAATTCCCATGTCATTCCCATGTTGTTCCCATCCCCCTCGGCAACTCTTCAGGTCAAGGCCGTGCATGCCGCAGGGCGCATTCCAACGACAACAGCGCCAGCTACTACACCATCTTCAGTGGAGCCTAGGGACGAAATCTGGTGGAAACCTTGGGAAGAGCCTATGGCTTTTTGTTGATTATAATAGATAATACATCATAATACATTGTTTCTTATTGATTCCTTTTTTCCTTTACAAAAGCAAAATCATACAATGATCTCGGCCCAAAGTGTTTAAGCCAATCAGCGGTTGCTGCTTTAAGGATCCAGAAAGCTATGCTGATCAACTGCGTGTTGTTTTTGGCCTGAAGACTTGCTGAAAGGGAACATTTACCTGCTGAAAATCCTATACTTGGGGTGGAAAGAGACACCCAACAGCGTCTTCTGTATTTTTCCACCCAAACCAATCCAGGTCCACTGACATTGTATTTTTTGCTTCTCTTTGATGGCCCCCTTACCCAAGAGGAGCTGTCTGCATTGAATCATAGGCCCAGATCTTTGAGGATGGGGAGTTAAGAGGTTTGCAATCGCCCCATGCACAAAGGAGTGGCAACAATGGACGCGTGCAAAGACCACTGCGTCGCAACGGACACTTGCGTTGGCATTGAATACAACGTGCCCAGCTCAGTACCGTTCCCTGGTGCTGGTTGGTCTTAAAGAGGGTCCCACTTGACTTCCAGATTGGGGGGGTGGCTCAACCACCAACCATGAAAGGTTGGTAGAACCAAGATCATATTGCAAATTTCTGATATGTACATCCTTAATAAGGGGTCATGATTTCCTAAAGATCAATCTTCGTCTTGGTTTCAAACCACCAACCGCTCAGTGTTTGCCCGACTTCTGCCATTGAATATATACACATGTCCACACATCAAGATCAACATACAATACCATAGAGTCCACCATATAAACACCCACTATTTTATATGTATAATAGTATAATATATGAATATATCCACCACTACAAAGAGATGTGTACCCAGCATATCCCTGGACATCCCGTTACCCATATATCCAACCTGCGCAGGTGGGAGGACGCTGTGAAGTTTGGACTCGATCTGGAGGGATTCAGGTGGGGGAACCACCCCAGGTTGCTGATATCTCCAATGTTGAGATGTGTAGGTCATACTGTTTTCTGTTGGATGGATTCCCCGAAAAAAGATGCTTGCTGATATAATTTTTGATATTAGAAATATGGATACATATGGATACATATGGATACATATGGATACAAAGACAGAGATGGTTCCAATATCTTGGAGTTGGATCGTTTTTTGGATCTCACAGACGATTCACCCAGCCGTTTCGCCGTTTCGCGAGGCGTCCATCCCGCTGGAGAACTACTGGTGCCTGCGCTATGGTGGCTTCACCTCGAGAAAGGATGTGAGTTCCAACCATTTCTGAATTATGAACTAGGAATTTTGGATATAACAATTATAGTTCCCAATTAATAGTTCAAACATGTTCAAACAATCTAAATCGGTTTAATAGATAGCCCCCCCATTATTGATTTTGAGGATGCTAAAAAAAAACTCCAAAAACATGGGAATTGCACCATCAAATTTGGGGGGTTTAACCGCAGAAGATGGGTGTTCACCAACAAAAAAGGAGTTCAACAAACAGAGGAATTTGCTTGTGAAACGGGGATGCTCCAATATTTGCACATTTTTCCTGGTGAGTGGATGATGAGATATCCAGAGATATCCTCTTTTTGGACAAACCCTTTATGTAAATGGGAATATAATCCGACAATTTTGGCGGATTAAGCTTGATGCAAGCACATCTCAATGCCTCCGCTCAAATGTCGCATTTTCATGAGGGGAGGTTAAGATCAACCCTGGTATTTTAAAGATGCAAAGCTATACCTTCCCCACATCAGACATGTTCCATCATTTTCCCCGAATCGTTCCCCCAGCTGCGTTTCATGCCGAGGTTCCCAGAGCCCGGGCTTCTCCGGTACCTTTGAACCGGTGGACGGCGGTGTAGACCGCGTGTGCCGCGGAGCGCATGAGAACGACAACTTCGCGCAGTACTTTGACGTGCAAAGCGTGTCTTGGTGGAAACGGAGCCAACGGAACCATGGTGTTTATCATTGTTTCTCCCATCAGTATGAGGTCCATGGTTTTTGGATGTGGAATTATCCCATTGTTTTTTGTAGCTCGTTACAGGCATCCATTATCAATGGTGTTTTTAATGCGGAGGTTCCTGAAACAGGGGCACCCCAAACCATAGGGTTTCCCCATTGATCCTAATAGTTATATCTTGGGAAGGTACCCCCTTTAGGAAACCTCCATGTCCATGTGCGTTTATCTTATTTTAACCCAATTGATATAATGAATAAAAGATGAAACTGAGCCATTCAAAGGGTCGTATCGGGTTTTGACTGTCAAAGATTGGGGGATGTAACTGATAAATGATGGTTGGTGGCTTAATACAGTGTCCGGAGTTACCTCAACTGGTTTATTGCAGATCCTTCAACCCATATGGATTGTTACTGACCAACCAGCATAATGGAATAAGATAGGGGATGATATGGGTATTTTCAGGGTGTTTGACCTAATAACCATTTTATTGGTCATAAAAGAAACATTGTGTTCTATTGCGCACTTAACAACCAACCAACTGACCAATCTGTTTTGTATGAGTTGCTTACAAATTTACATCTGTTCATCGAAGTTTAACCAACATATCTGGACAAGTTATAACGAACCTACTGCGATGGCACTGGAATCATGGTTACTTGGAGTAGGGATAAGTATCCCAAAATGACCTTTTTCAGGTTCGTGCAATATTACCAACTATCTGGTAAAGATGTTCATTGGTGAAAGATGTCTTAATTGGATCTAATTGGTTCATACAACTAATGCAGAACTGAGGTTTACCCCAAAAAGCATGTCATGAACTTCAACAACAAAATGGGATGGAAAGAGCATAAAACAATCATTGAAAAGTGGCAGCCAACGTGATTGGGTATAAATCAGTTGGCAAATCCCACGTTGCCCTTCGGATCCCTTTTTGAAAAAGATATTGCAATGAGAAATCTAGATGTCTGATATAGTGCCATCAACTACTGATGGGTTTTCCATTGTCAGCCTTATTTACAAAAGTGTAAAGGGTCACTTTTTAGATACAGCTAGGCGAGAACGGTGTTCAACCAGCAAAAAATCTGTTTGAAGTCGAACCAATTGGTGAATGAATATCATCTTTTTGAGAAAGTGAACTAGTTTGCAGGGTATCTATGTAATGCTTGCCATGGCGGACATGCAAGTCATTCGTTGACCATGAACTGGAATGGAGGGAGCATTAGGGGTTAGATGATAAAATCCAGAAATTTGAGGCTTGTTGGTTGACCCAAAATTGTTGAATCTCAAGATGTTTGTGGAATATTTCCGAAGACATTTGTTTGAGTAACCCAATATTTCAAGAATAATCTAAAAGAAGAGTAAGTCAAAATTGTTGATCATTTCAACTTGTTATTCTTCTGCAAACCGGACATTAATGATGTTTCTTCACTTTTACAAAACTGTGGTTTTTCATCTTCCCAGTCGCTGGTTTCCCCAACAGAAGCGATGGGGATTCAACTGATTCAACCTCCAAAAGTCGACCAAAGTCCAGGTATCATTGGCGGTGTCCTAACATGCTCAGGTATGGTTACCCAAATCACATAACCATAAATCACCTTGTTGGTGATCTAGAAATCTCCATGAAATACACCCATATCATGCTGATCTATATCTATGATATCCAATGAGATCCATGGAATTTGACCTTCCCATGGTGACACCTGCTCCGCTTCCCGACGTGAAAGGCCGACCCCTTGGACGGCTGCAAGGGCCTCTGCGCGAGTACCGACGGTTGCCGCATGGCGGCGATGGGATCATCCGAGCGGTTTATGGGGCGTTGGTTTCAATGGGGCCTTCAATATGATTGGGGGATTGGATTATTCCCATTAAAGCACAGCACCATTGCTGATGGTTGAATCATGTTAAATCCCCCAAGTATCATATTGTTGGTGATATACAAGTTTGTTGATCTTTTTTTGGATATCTCCAGGTGTTGTTATATAAGTTACCCCCTGGTAAACGTTTACATAACTATGGAAATATTCACCAATTTTAATGGGTAAATCAACTATTTCAACTGGGCTATTTTCTATGTCGCTTTTTGTATGTTTACCAGAGGGTACTAACAAGGGTGCTTAACTGCTGGGATGATCCCCTGAGCCCTAAAGTGATGCCACGCATCTCCAACTTGCGCAGCGAGACATCAAACTTTAGACATATTTATCCGCAATGAATCTTTATTCGGGTTGATATATACAGATCACGATACAGTATCTCTTAAAAAAGACTGAAGGGTAATGTGTCACTATTTCAGTAACATTTTACGGATCTATCTTTTTGGGGGATACTATAATATAGCTGGGGCTTATGGTTCATTTGATCTATTTGCAATTGGATGAGTGATACTGAACCAACTATCCAACTTACAGCTAGCGTGGTCCTCTTTGCAGCGAAAATGCGCTTAGGCCAGCAAAAAAAAACGTAGCAGAACCAATGCAAAGTGCATGATGAACAGCCTCATGAGCTGGGCTATATCTAGTGAATTACAGCTTTAATCGTGGGATGGTCTTCGAAATGAAATTGTAGCCTCCAGCAATCTCGCCTCGCAACGAGCTCAAGACTTTGGCAACCAAAGATGAAAAGAAAAGACAGCATGGGATAGCCAAAAAAAATCGCATTAAAACCGTTGTAGAAAGTTGGTTTTATCCATAACTGGGATGCAGCGTGGTTCTTAACCGCATACCAGCTGGGCCCCTCCAATTTCACAATATTTGCCAACATTTGAAATCATTCAATTCCACTTGTTCCTCCTATCGACCCTTGCTCCAAGGTAAAGGCATCGAGTACCACAAGTACGGCCGCTGTGAGATTTGGCTTCGCGAGGAAGGCATCCAGGCCTCCAAAACGGCCACAGGCTACACATGTCTGCGCTACATCGCGTGAGCTGCTAGCGATGGATCTGGATGTTCTTTCCCTGGCTGTGGATGAGTTCAATAACCCAAGAATTGGCAATGGTGAAATCGGGTTGGAAAGTTTCTGGGCGGTTTTAGTTTGCTGTTTTTTCGAGGAAGCAAGAAGTGGGTCAGAGCATGATCTGCAGCCAGATAATGTCAGGTGCTGAAATTTGTGGAACTGGGCTTGCAGCCACCTGAGCTGGGCCCCGTTCCGTTTCTGGTTCGAGGAGGGGGTCGCATCGGATGATGACAGGATGATTTAGGCGATCGATTCATGACTCACATAGATGTCACTTTTCAAGATCAGTCACAAATAGAAGATCGCTACATCCCCCGTGAAAGAGATCAACATATATCAGCACGACATCAGCATCACTACCTGTGTGAGCCCCTTCGCCGTCGGCCTTAGACGGAGGCACATATGTTTTTGCCCGACCTGTAGCATGGCACCAAGACGCTCAGATTCTCAGCCAGACCTCCATGGCGGATGGGCAGAGTATAGTCGAGCTGCCTTCATCGGCCTTCGGCGAGGTAAAAAGGTACCTGACATCTGTGAAGTTTACGATCTGGTTTGTTCTATGTTGTATTTATACAGAATGGAAAAATATTTTGTATCCGTACATGCGTACATACATACATACAAACATACATACATACATACAGACAGACATACATACATACCTACGTACGTACATACATACATACATACAAACATACAAACATACAAACATACATACATACATACAGACATACATACATACATACATACCTACGTACGTACATACATACATACATACAAACATACAAACATACATACATACATACATACATACAGACAGACATACATACATATATATATATATACGCAACCAAGATCAAGTGGCATCGTATACAGCCAGCAAGGCACAAGAGAAAACATACAGCAAACTTTCTGAATCCGATGGGCGAAGGTACGGCGCAGGACACTTCCCCAGCTGAGGCCGAAAGCTGACCTTGATGGAGATATATGGGAGATGTTTATCGGACATGGGATACCCGGTAATCATGATGAAATCATGATTTTAATATATTTTAATATGTAAATCATCTATGAACTTGGATCATTTTCCATGGAGGGTCACCCTGAAAGAAAAGGTGAAAAATGGTCACCTCTTGTCGAGGCGATGAAGCGATTTCCAATTCTCACATGTGGGGGTTTCCATCAATGGGGATACCCCAATAGCCGGATGGTGTATAACGGAAAAGCCCATTAAAATGAATGATAAATGGCTCACCCCCAAAATTTACGGAAATACCCTGATATTCTGAAATACTTCACTACTCAAACGTCAGGGGGCAGACTGTACGGATCTGGAGGTGCTTCTACATTCCATTAAAACACCCTTACACACATTGCTATGGCAATGTTAGTTCCCCATTCTCGTTCTATCATACCATATCATACCCCTATTCCCACATATCCCCCCCATTATGGTTATATCATGCCTCCATTTTGACTACATAGTTTGGTTTTCAATTATATCATGGGGATGTAATATGGGCGATTTTGAGCAATATAGATTTGGAGGTTTGGATCAATGGGCATCAGTATGGGTCTATCATATCCCGTGATGGATTCGGAGTGGCATGCTTCCCATTCTGACAGAAGTGGCAAGTCACTATTTTAGAGAATTACATGTTATAAGTACAATGGTATGCACATATCATGAAAAAAATGGGATTACAGCACCCGACAGAATTATGGAGAAAAAAAACGTGTCAATTTACAGGCGCCGCCTGTCTATGATAGAAAAGTTACGAACCTTTTTTTTCCATAATTATTGTTTCCATAATTATTTTTTCCATAATTCTGTCGGTGACTGTATGTCCATCGATTCGCAATTTGAATGCATTTTAAGGGGGAATATTGAATTATCGAAAATATGTGTCTAAAGATCTGGTATATGCTCCTAAGTCTTCCATTGATTTACATAATATCATGTGATGTTCGCAATTTGAATGCATTTTAAGGGGGAATATTGAATTATAGAAAATATGTGTCTAAAGATCTGGTATATGCCCCTAAAGCCTGCCATTGATATACATAATATCTGGATGTTTCCTTTTGCCAAGCCACCAATTGGGTTGATACTAAGACTTGCATTTGCATACATATTTCCATAACCCCCCAAAAAAACGGGTTTGAATTGTGGATCCATGACATGTCCAACAGGTGGAGCCCCAAACATTAATTATGGAAAAAATAATTATGGAAAAACCGGTCAATCTGCCCTAGCCCCCTGATTTTACAGGAAAAATCAATTATGGAAATAATGGCCACCTCCAAGAATTATGGAAAAAAAAAGGTTCGGATCACTTCCGGGATATTTTGAACCCTTATGGGGAAAAATCCAATTATGGAAAAATCGGACGCAGGCGCCGCCTGTCTAAGTTGAACGTTTTTTTTCCATAATTCTGTCGGTTACCATACAACTATCTTTCCCATGGTTGTTTTTTGGTGGTTACCAAGCCGCTTACGCCATGACGGCAGGCTACCGACGAGTTGGGGCGCCAAATCTGTCAAAACGGTTCCGGTGGTTTCGAAATGGTCGTGTCACCACTGTGAAATCGAGATGTGTCTATACATGTATGGACATGTATCTATACATGTATGTATGTATATATATATATTATTTATTTGTTTATTTATTTTTATTTCTTTATTTATTTGATACACACGTGTATATATATATATGCATAAATAAGTATATAACTAGTATATAACCAATCATAAAACTGTTTGGTGGCATTAAGGATTTGCTTAATGTGCCATTTGGATGATATCCTCAACAGACAAATGTGTATCTAGAGTTTCAGCGGCAAATGTGGGTTAAATCAGTGTAAAATACGTGTCCCGGAAATAACGTATACCTTAAAATTCAAATAGATTTCAACTATGTAAACTTTCCATTGTGATGCCATGTGTGGTACTGGTACCCCCATTTCCAGACCCAGATTTTGACGGTTAGGTTCCAATATCGGCCCAGGCAAATCATTGATTCGGTGTGAGGGGTCAAAGTTGCCTCTCCGCCACAAAGCGACACGGACAGAGTTTCGTCGCGTTGGCGTCGGAAAAAAAAACGCTGGAATTCATTTAACAAAACAATCTAAAATTAACTAAGTAGTTAAGAGACAAAAATGAGAATTGGGCTTCCCTTGGTTTCATGTTCAAGATGTTGCACATAAGAAAGGTCGCGTGGAACTGAACCAAGTGCTTGAAGTTTTGATGCCGCGTACGTCAGCACTGCTGCAGAATGGCTAGTGGGATCAATGGGGAAAACCAACTCCCTTCCAATGATTCCACTAACTTCGGATTCAGTCAACCAGGGTGACCCCACTCGGTATCCACGGGCTACGGGTAGCTGTTCGCACCGCGGTGGCCATGGAAGATGCGGTGTGCCTTGGTATTCGTTGAGTGGTCTTGTTTGCAAAATATTGGGACATTTCATGGATTTTCCATGGGGTATGTGATGATGGATATTCTGGTATTCCTATATTCCATCATTGGCTCGGATTTGCTGAGCGATTTGAGATTTCCCCACTAGGCTCTGTTCCCACTAGAATTGAAGAATCCACTGGGACGAGTCGAGTGTTTTTTTTCAGGTAAGTTTGAGCGAATCCAAGTTGGTTGAAAGTTGGTTGATTCAGGGGTTTGGTTCAGGGAACAATGTTATTGCCACGGGATATGGTACGTTCCATCAGCAATTCTACCCTCTGGTAAACTAACATAACTATGGAAAATCATCATTTATAGCGGATTTTCCCATGAAAAATAGCGATGTTCCATAGTTATGTTGGTTTGCCAGAGGGTAGTTCATGTTCAATGTCAGATGGAATTGGACTGACGTGTGAACTTCAATATGTTTTGTGCGGATGGCATGATCAGAACCCCTGTGCCCACCACAATACTATATAGACTGTACATTATAATCAATTTGCACAGCAGCATCTGCCATATCACTGTCAAAAATCGACCATAGAACACATCAAAAAGCGCAGTAAACACATGTAAATATATGTAAAGGTACGTTGGTAATGAAACCAGCATCTACCTTTTGATATACCCTCTGGTTATTTAACAGTTCGCCATGGTATAGATGGCCCATAGAAATAGATGAGTTTTCCCAGCTAGAAACCTCCATTTATGGTTGGGATTTTCCATGGCGAACTGTTAGTCATAACCAGATGGAAATCACAACTATGGGTATACCCTCTGGTAAACGTTAACAACAAACTATGGAAAGATCCACCATTTTTAATGGGAAAACTCACTATAAATGGCAAAAAACTATGGAAAGATCCACCATTTTGTATGGGTAAATCCCATTAAAACCTCCATTTATAAGGGATTTTCCATGGCTATGTTAGTCATAACCAGATGGTATCACTGATCACCTGGCTAGGTCGAGTCGAGCGGCCACGAAGCTCCTAAAACGTCTCGATGTCGGACGCCTGGAGCAGGCGGCAGTCAAAAAATGCCACCGGGCCGGTGGTTTTGCCATACGAAGCGGTGAAAAATGAAGGTTCAAAGCTGGTTAAACCATCAAAAACCAGCCCATAAATCATCATAAATGGATGATGTTTACCATCTGAAGCTAAGATTTTGTGGAAATGGCCGGGTGTTTTTTGCCATGAAAATGGAGGTTTTTACGTGGATAAACCATGGAATCAGTGCATCTCACCGCGGGGGTTGAACCACAGAAGCAACAGATTTGCTGATTCGGAATCACTCAAAAATATGGAGAGAGAACCAGATATAACTTCTACAAAAATCGGATTTACCAGGATTTACCTGAATTCATATAGCATATTGGGCGTTGCCATCAATTTTTGCCACAAAAAAACGACCTTTCAGCAACCAACATCCGGCATAACCATGCATAACCACCATGAAATGCTAAGGGCTGAGCAACACTTCTGGCCCTGAAAGTTTTTCGTGATTATCCCCCA